TATTTTGGTCACCCAACTCCCATTATTTAAATTTTTTTAAATAAGTGACAATTCTGTTAAACTAATTGTCAATATATATTTTAGTTATTAATATTAAATATGCATTAAAATTTTTGTGTAGACTCAATAAATAATAGCATTTTTGTTTTTATTGTGTCCACATTTAAAAAAAAATAAATTTTAATCAAACTACATGATACTAATTTAATTACGAGTATTAAAACTAAAGTCCTGAAAGTTTCGGTGAAGATGAGGACAGAGCATCTGCCTTCCACGCGAAAAGCCCGGGATCGAATCTAGGCCGAGGACTAATTAATTTTTCATGTTAATTTTATTTTATAAATTAGTCAACTTCGTAAATTATTTTAAAATTAGTTATTTTGTCTAAATAACCTAAAATTATTTTTTAAATTTGTAGATTTTCGTTAGTGGGTCGTAGAAAAAATATACTGACCATATCGAGTGGATTGTTCATATCACAGTCAGATGATTGAGTACTCCGCATACGACGTCGTGCTCAAACTTCGTCTTTGTGTGATATTGCTATCATATCCACCCTTGTTGAACAAACTATAATTTATTTGTTTTCTTGGTTTAAACCAAAACTTAAGTTTTACATCAGAAATAGGAACTAAATTAATTTACTTTTCAAGTTTTCTTATAAAAATCGATATTACTTTCTCCAAGTACAAATTTAGTACCTACCTAAAATAAGTACTAATTATGTAATATCGTGTAATATTGTAATTCAAATTTCACATTACTATAAAGTTTAAAAATTCCCTACTTCGGTATGGTCAGATAAAAATTGAATATATTATATTAATAAAAACTGTCAAAGTATTACTTCTACAAATCTGTATTTCAATTAATAAGAATACATCTAAATATAACCAATATTGTTAAAATAAAAGCACAAATTCTTTATAATTCCAAAATACCATAGAGTTCCCAGACCTTAGTCGAAGATTCGTTTATCTAGGTATAAACCCTTTGCGCGAAGAGTAACACTTGCCAGAGACACGGGGTACCACTTGATTTGCATCCACGAGCGTGACACAATTCTTTAACAATTGAAGCCCTTGGTGTAAAAAGGATCCAAGCCACAATTTGTCGTGAAGTGACTGTTTTAGCTCAAAACATTTGTTAACGAGGATTTTACTAGCCACATACAAATTATTTTACCTCTAATCCGAAAGATGTGCTATTTTTCGTAATATTTATATTTAAATAATGTTTCTAATTATATTTGACAGATTTAAAACAAATTAAAAATTTAATTTCCCAAAACTTACTCAATATGGCATGCAACCAACCTTATTACGCCAAGGTTTTCAATTTTTTCAATAATAAAAAAATTGTTTAATCCGGGCCCGACTTTTCCCTCGAATCTAACAGAGATAGCACCATTCCGTCTTGCTTGGTTCTCGACCGCCAGATCAAAGACGCCGACACGGAGTTGTGGAGCTGTATATTGTATAAGCTGTGATATAACATTAACTTAATTTGCTCAAAATCTCGACATGCGGCTTTCTTTCGAAGTAGGGCAGTATAGGTAAATAAAACGAAGGACCAATTTAGTATATAAGGAACAATAAGAACATTTAATGAAACTACGTACAAAAAACAGGTTAAAATAACTGTTAAACTTTGGTTATCAAAAGACAACGCTTTCTTAAAATTCAGAATAATATTGAAATAATGTCGTTGGCAGAGACGAATCACACAGACGAGAACACGATACATGTCGATAAGTTCCGATTCGAGGCTGACACAAGCTCCGCGTACCGAAAAGTTACACCAACGCTGGCGCGAGAATTTAAAAAAGTTCAGAACCGTCTGTAGTCATTTGAAACCGAACAACAATAATTGTTTTATGTGCTCTTTATAATTGAAATAGGAGGAATGCAATTGATAAAAATAAATCAACAGGAATAACATATCATGGGTTAGTACATAAAATGACAGGGTAATATTTTTATATTTTGCTTATTTAAATAGTTTCTGGGTTATCACATTTAACGGTAATTATATTATATAATTACGGTTTTCTGTTATAATCGTTTAAGTATTCCATTTTATGCTGTGCAAGTGTTTAATTTTGTCCATATAACAGAAATATGGCAGGAAATCTTATATGAAACTGTAAAATATTTTCACTAACCAATAAACCACAAATAACAAATGTTTTAATTTTAGATTTTCTAAAGACTGAAATTATACATTATTTGCCAGAATTTTCCAAATTTATTATTGCCTATGTAGCGGGATAATTTGTTCAATTTTTAAAGAAAACAATATTTTGTTTTAATTATATATCTGCTTTGACAAGTAACACGAGGAATTTGTATCTATTCTCTTTAACTAGGTTATTTGTACATCCTGCTTAGTAGAAAAGTACTTTCTAGCGCAACAGACGTGTACATGGTGAGTAAAAACTCAGATACATGATTTTCTCAATTTTTTTAAATGTAACACCCTGTATTTCATATAACTACTAAAAAGTATTCTAATTATACGTTCGTTTGAGTTAAATATTGCCTATCCCTAACCACAACAGTTTAGCGAGATTCTTAGAAGAAATGTTAAAAAGGGTTAATTATAACCAACTAAATTCACAATGTAATTTGTTTTAAACTCCTGTTAAATATTACATACTAGTTTCTAATTAATTAGTTTATATTTTTAAGGTACCTGGTACAATTTTTTATCAACTGAAGTTATTTTTTGGGACCTTTACAACTTTTTATATAAAATGCAATGAAAACGCTAACAGAACTTTAAATTTTTTTGTGCGTTAGATCAAATGGGCTTTGTCAAAAGAATAACTAGACAGTTCCGAATTGTTTAAATAAAAAATAAAATTACGTTTAGTGTTCACAAGTATTTAAATTTATTGATTTGACTAATTTATAAATGAATTTTGAAACGCATGAATTGACTGACATGATTTTAGTGCTAGGGGCAAGTGATGAAAATTGCTTGTTGGCAACTAGAATTTATAAGCTAAAATATCCTGATCGCCGACAACCTCGTAAAGAAATTGTTGAAAATCCGTTAGAAAGATTTAAACGAACAGGTAATGTAGCATATCAAAAAAATGATAGAGAAAAACGAACTTAAAATGAACTCAATATTCTACTTAGTGTTACCGAAAATCCAATTACCAGTATACGCATCAGCGAAAATGAAACGAGAATAAGTAAATCATCTGTCAATAGGATACTATTTAAAAATAAAGTACATCCATACCAAATCCAACGTCATCAGGAGCTTCTTGAAAACGATTTTTAAAAAAGAATAGCTTTTTGTGAAAGGGCAATAGAGAGCATTAATAATAAAAATGATTTTTTTGATTGTGTACTTTTTGGAGATGAATCAACATTTCACAAAAGGGTTTCGTCAATAGACACAATTTTCATTACTATTCCACCACCAATCCTTATGAGTTAATGACACATAGCCAAATACGATGGTCTATTAACGTTTGGGGTGGTATATTAGGGGACTATGTCATAGGACCACATTCCTTTCATGGTCGTGTAATTGCCGAGGTCTACTTAGACTTTCTGCAGAATCATCTACCACTACTATTAAAAAATGTTCCACTAAATATAAGACGCCGAATGTGGATATTACGTGATGGAGCTCCTGTACATCGCGCTCAACCAGTTCGCAACTTTCTAAACCATAATTTTGAAAACAGGTGGATTAGAAGAGATGGTCCAGTTATGTGGCCTCCCAGGTCCCCTGACCTCACTAAAGTAGATTATTTTTGTGGGGTTTCGTAAAAAATGAGGTTTATAAAACTAGTCCATTAACTAGCGAGGAAATGAAGGAAAGAATAAGACTAGTGTGCGCAAGCATAGATGTACAATGTTTGAAAAACGTTCAAAGATCATTTGAAGCTAGATTACAACATTGTATTGCAGTCAGAGGTAGTCACTTTGAGCAGCTTCTATAATAGCTTTTTTTTCCATTTTTTAATATACTAATGTTGCATTCTAAAAAAAAAATAAAATAACTTATTTTTGGCTTATATCTTTTTCATTCAAATATAAAACTGTTGTGTTTAGGGATAGGGACAAACGAACGTATAATTAAAGTACTTTTAGTAGAGATATGAAATACAGGGTGAACCTAACCTTAAAAGTAAAGAAAGTAAATTCAGTTAATAATAAATTGTAGCTAGGTACCTTAAAAATATAAACTGATTAAACAGTATATTTTAACAGGAGTTTAAATCAAATTACATTGTGAATTAAGTTATAATTAACATTTCATCTAAGAATCTCGCTAAACTGTTTTGTTTAGGGATAGGCAATATTTAACTCAAACGAACGTATAATTAAAGTACTTTTTGGTAGTGATATGAAATACAGGGTGTTACATTTAAAAAAATTGAGAAAATCATGTATCTGAGTTTTGACTCACCCTGTACACGTCTGTTGCGCTAGAAAAAAATTAGTATATTCCTGTAAAAAAAGACTATCATTAAAAATGATACATTAAAATATTTTGATGCTTGATTGTTTCTTTTGACATATAAAGAGGGTTGCACCTAGTACAATTTTCATATAAAATTGGTTAAAACTTCCAAAATACCCAGTATAACCTTATACATATTGGTAATTGCTTGAAGGGCAAAGTCAGGGGAATTCAAATTTACTATTAAATACAGGGTGGTCCATTTAAAAAACATAAGTTATGGACCACTCTGTATAATCGAAAATAATTTTGAAATGTGCAGATTAATATTATCTACAACTTTTGTAAATAACATTGTTTGATATTTTCTATAATATAGGATAAATCGAACTTCCACACACTATTGGGACACCCTGTATAGCGGCATAATCGACGTAGATATGAAATTGCAAAAAATTTGAGTTGCTCATTCTCTTCTGTACTATGCCCTTACAATAAAAAAATATATTTTAATATAAATGGGATAATAAAAAATAGTATTTTCCTAATAGTTTTACTTAATATATTTTTAGGAATTGTGGATGATTCAACTTGTGAATCAGGAGATGGTGCCTTAAACCATGCTGTATTAGTTGTTGGATATGGTACTCAAGATGGTCATGACTACTGGCTCGTGAAAAATTCTTGGGGTACATCATATGGTCAGGACGGTTACATAATGATGTCAAGAAATAAGAATAATCAATGTGGAATTGCTACATATGCTCTATATCCAGTGTTCTAAATATGCTAATTTTAGTTGAAACCATTTTTATGATTTTTCTTTGTTAAATAAACGTTTGAATTTTTTCCATTTATATTATTACCTCTTTTACCGAAATAATACATATTACTTCAGTACTTTAAAGAGTTTACTTTTCCCTTCTGTGCCAAATAACTTTTTCCAATATTTTAACATGGGCTGATACCCTTTGTAAGGAAATCAGACTAGTCTTAAATTGTTTATAATATTATTATTTACTTGTATATCGATTTTCAAAGTGGCATCTTAAAGAAATTGGCCGCTAACTTTTGGCTGCCAAGTTCACACCGGTGCCGACTGAATAGTTTAAACGCCGTTTTGGCGGCCGCTCTTTAAATTCAACTCAATTTTGTTTCCGATATAATCACGATTTTTTAGGTTAGAAAATTTGCATTATCGATTTTTCGTTCGAAGTAATACAAGACGTAACTTTAGATTGGTATCTCTTTATGTCAACAAATATGTAACACGATGAATTTAATAAAACGTATGTTACTAATATGTAGCGAGCCATACTGTCAAGTATAAGCCAAGTAATAATTAAAATGTTTTGATTAAATTAAATAAAATATAAAATTTAAATATTTTTATTTTTAAGTAAACGACAGTGTATACGAGATAATTTTACACTTTACTTGAGTTTTTTGTATTAAACCATCGATCATTGTAATGAAACCAGCAGTAAAATAGATATTTTTGTACCAAGGCTATGTTTTGCTTAGACTAGGTAATAAACAGAGGACGCGTAACAAGTATATCGAGCACACGTAGTATTCTGTGCCGATTATTTATTGGCCGCCATTATTTTGGTGCTAATCATTTCGGTAACACCAAAGTTTTTGTTCGTGTTTATTTCTGATTTTTGAATTAAACGACATTTAATAATTGGTTTATTAAAATGGTTTATTGTGTGGCATATCAGTGTTAAAGTTATAGCTGCAAGAAATAAGCAGATGTTACGTTTTACAGGTAAACGATAAACATCAATCGTTTTTACTTTATATATTTTCTTATATTTTTTATTTTATTTGGTGTTATACAACTTGGTATTTACATATTGTACATGTCTTACTCCAGAGTAATGAATTTTACCTACCAAGTTTGTTTATTTTATGCTTTTAATTAATATTTAAGCAATTAATGATATTAAAATAGCCAAACATGTAATTTTTTCCAGTGGCGTGTCGTACAATTCTAAATATTAACTTTTATTAAATCCTAATTTACTTTTGCTTCTTATTTAATTACAGCAATATTTATTTGTTGTTTTATTTTAGATTTCCTGGGGATCCAGCAAAAAAATCTTTGGATTTAGGCGTCGAAAATTGCAAATTGGATGCCTACGCCAGATGATAGATAGTGTTCAAAACATTTTGGAAGACTTCTTTTTATGGGACGGACTGTAAAAAAGGTTTACTAAATGGAGCAGTTTCCACTATATTTCCTGAATTTTCTAAATACATGCAGCCGAAGAAGGTGCATACACTAATAAACATAATTAAACATATATATTTTTTTAATTACTTTTATTATTATCTTATGAGCTTTTAAGAATTTAGAACCCTTTTGTTTATAATTCAAAATATTACCGTAACAATTGATTGTTTGTGGTACTTAAAAAGAAGAGCATTCTATTTGGAAGCTGAGTCAGGCCCTTCAAATAGAACTTCAAATAAAGAATCTATCCTAGAAAGCCCTAACATAAAACGGCTTAGAAGACAACTTTTACAACAGGTAGAAAAGAATAAAGAAAAAAACAAGACAAATCAAAATTCTTAAACAAAAACTTTAAAGATATAAAAAAAGAGTTGTTCGCTAAAACTTCTTGTTATTGTAGCAAATTAGTATTAGTTAAGGGTCAGTAATAAATGTATCTTCATTTATGTATAATTGTTCTTACTAGCTTAATTTAATAATATCTAGAGAGCACACTACATCTTAAAGACGTTCAGTTCATGTCTTACTTTCGCCCAAACGTCCTGGTACGTAAAACAGACGGTTTTAAGACGCCCTGCTCCGGACGTGTTTAAAACGTCTTTATTGGGATGTTTTTGGGACGTTTTAAATATGTCATCAATGTGGACGTTCAACTCTTTTTGCTATATTTGAATATGGCGCCATGACAGCGTTCTTGGTGCTGCCTGCAGCGCATGTAGATCGTCATTCGTCATTGACATTGGCTGATTAGAGTTTCGGCGCGCGTGTATCGAGTCGTGTTTATCCTCCAGCTGCCTTCTTGTCGGAACAGCCATTGTATAATATTTTAGAGTCAGTCTGTGGACATTATCATTAATATTTCGTGGTTGTGTGTTTTTGTACATTTTCCTTTTATATTATTTATTTGCCATTATTGGAACTGTGGTATACCGGAACTAGTAAACTTTATCATTACAAACAGTAAGTTTTAATTTATTTCCTTTTTAATTTCATAATCTTACTTTAATAATGTCTTATTTTTTTTAGAAAAACACCTTAAAACAATAACTGAACAAAATTATATTTTACGGTGACATATAGTTACAAACACTTTGGCTAAAATTAATACCATAAAAGAAACTTTTAAATCGACCAAACTGGAATAGTTTCTCATAGCAACAAGTACTTGAAGTCATTTTTTAATTATTTTATCCAACGCTGTAAAATAATATTTACTCTGTGTTAGTTTAAATAGTTTAACAATGTATAATAAACAGTATTAAATATAGTGGACAAGTATTCATTAATTTTTTTAAATGAATTTCCATCAAGTAAATAGGCGACTTAAACACGTCCAATACGGTTTGTCCGGATGTCTTAAGGGCGTACAAAATTAGATGTCCCTGTTTCGTAACAAAGTGCATCCTATAGACTCCTTTAAAACATCTTTTGGATATTAGCATAGATATTCAAAACGTCTCGAACGTCGTGAACAAACGTATTTAAGATGTCTTTAAAACGTGTCTGTGCTATCTGGGTAGTGTCATTCTTTATTAAGTTAAAATAAATCTTTCTGTAATACATGCAGATCATTATGTTTTATTTTGCGGAATTTAAAAAAGAAACACTAATTTCTTTATGTAAACAATTTCATTTAATTTATTTCAATATATTTTTTTTCTTGTGTCTTATTTATTGGTACTTATTTATTTTATATTTTACGCTTTGAACTTGCTTTATACCTAAAAAGATCAATTTTTTTATTTTCAATATGTTACGCCTTTGGTCAAATATCGTTGGTGTCAAAATGGCACCAGATTTCCAGCGACGTTATGAGTCCTCTCTTTATTACCTAGTCTAAGATGTTTCGGCCGAATTAGACATTTGCGGTCGAGGCTAAGCGACTTCTAGTTAAGTATAAGAGTAATAGGCAAAAAGCGGATGTTTCTCCAAGATTGACACCGAGATAGATATCAAATAAACAGGTATACTGAAGATCAACTTTGCAGGACCCAGCATCAGATAGGCATAATACTTGATATTCTGAAAACCATGCATACTACGTTCGTAAGCACCAGCCCTTAAAATAGAGATGTTATTTTAATATTTTGTAAATCTGAACTATTTATCACGATATCTGCATTTGAATTGTATTGTCATTCGATGTATAAATGTTATTACTTACTTACAGTTCATCAAATTTCTAGAGGTGTTCGACGCCCAGACAGAGAACGCGCTACGTGTGACTAAGATAGCTATTGTACAGTCTGCTAAACAAGTTATTTTAAATAGTTTTTAATATTTTTAGGTAATTAAATTTTAAAAGAGTGGAATAGTTTAGGGATTAAATTGGTCTGATTGGACTTTCTTAGAACGTTTTTAAAAGCAGCTAAAAATAGTATGTAGAATTGAAAATAATTATTATGCCATAAAAGGTGTTTTGGAATTCCTTCAACCGTTTAAAATTGAGTCAGAAAATATAAATTTTATAGGATAGCGGAAAATACCTATAATTTTTTTGTATGCCTTTGTAAATCGTGGAAATAGTTTATATTTTATTTCTACCTTATTAAGGAAAATGGTACCTATTATTAATAACGGTTGTTTCTGAAACATTACTAAAATTTTCGAAATTTTGTTTTTCTACAAAATATTAAACTAAACTATTTAGAAAAAAAATTATTTCTCTTATAATTTTATAAAAAATAACAGGGGAATATTTACATTTCTTGATCTATTAAACAAAACGATAAATTATCTCGACGAATGACACCATGTTCTAGTACGGAAGCTAGCTTTACATTTTTGTTGGTGGTTTCATGGGTTTCATATCAATTTTTTGTAATTGTAGTTTACACGTACATATACCTCTTAACACTTGTTTGCTTTATTAAAAAAGTGTGTTGTTGTGATTTACGTCGAAATAAGTCAAAAACAACTTGAAACCCCATATAAAATCAAAAAGGAGAAACGGAAAAAAATTGAGCCTGTAAATGAACACAACTCAGAAACAAAAATAGCTATCTAATAATAAAAAATTAAAATTTGATTCTTGTGCAGCTTCATCTATAATCTATATCATTAACTGTTTTTGGTTTTTTAATGGTTTTTCTTGGTGATGAAAATTCCGATATCTCACGGTTATCGATTCTTTTTTTCTCTCCAGAAATGCGAACGACAGTGTTTTTAGATACTCCTGTGGCTGCAGCAACACGATCATTTACATTTTTAAATGGTATTGAAGGTGAATTAAAGTTTCCTTCTCTTCTCATAAACTCTATAACATTGGCTATTATTTCGCGAGATTGACTGTTAATCACGCGGCCTCTTAATTTGCTATTAAACTCCATACTTAGGTTCTATTAAACTGTAATGAGCAAAAAACACAAACGAAAATAAAAGAAATGTTTTAGCGAAATTTACATCTGACATTTACGTCTGAATGAAATAGTGAAATACTTGATGCGCAGAGTGTACTTTCATTGCGTAAATCCGTCGGGATGCCTGACAGTAGTGCTTTCTCTGTCTAGCCGTCGAAAGCCTCTAGAAATTTGATGAACTGTAAA